AAAAAAAAAAAAAAAAAAAAAGGACTGCCCCTCTTTTGGCCTCCGCATCTCCAAGTGGAAGATTGAAGAGAGAGCTTGGAGATCTCCGGCTAAGAAAACTCCTTCTCTGGTCTTCACATCCCTATCGATAGAAGCAAAGAAGAGTCCCCAGAACTCCGAGTGTTCTTAGCAAAATCCCCAACCTCCCTCACCTTTGACACTCATAGCCTCAGCACCACTTGAGACCATTAGGACTAATCTCGTTCTATCCCTTATCACTGTTTCCACTGGCTACCTGAGGAAGCCTGAGAGTTCTGGGTCGTCCCACATGCCCAGGATCCTAACCTTCATATGGCTCTATGGGCAGCAATGCACCCCCTACCTAGCACCTCCTATCCACCCCCACCCAGCTGCTTTATGTTTCCCCAGAGCACTGATCCACTTACCACTACCTGCCTCTACCCACTGAAACCTAAGCTTTACGAGGCAGGGGTTTTATTCATCACTGTATTGCCAAGCACATAGAATAGTGCCTGACAGAAAGTAGACACTCATAAATATTTGTTGAATGAATATGTTTCTTCCTCTAACACAGATACGTACATAGGAGAAGAGGAAAGGGACTTCTAATTCTTATTGTCTATGTCTAGCAAAATGTACCTTCTTATTATCCTCTTCCATTTCTAAACATTATTCTCCAAGGTGCCAAGGAAAACTCTAGGTTTGTGAGCCATGGTCCAAGGGCATGGCTACTGGTCTCAAAAGGAGTGAGGTAAGATCCACCATTACTTCTGGAAAAATATATTCCATGCCCCAATATTTATTCAATCAGCAAACAAATATTTCCTGAGTGCCTAATTTGTGTCAGACACCATTCTAGGGACTGAAAATAAAGCAGTGAAAAAAGTTACCATCTCCGCTTTGAAGGAGCTGAGCACCAGGGAGTGACAAACACTATGGAGGAAAAGAAAGCTGGGGATGGTGTTGTAGGGTGTTGGGGAGTTCTATTTACATAGGGTGGTTTCTGATTAATTGACTTTTGAACAAAGATCTGGATAAAGTGAGGGAAAGAAAGAGAGCAAGTTTCCGGCAGAAGGAACAGCATGTGCCAAGTCCCTGAGGTGGGAACCAGTGTGGTATGTCCCAGGTGGTGGCCATGAAATGAGGCCAGGGAGAGTAGAGGAGATAAGACTGAAAAGACAAGCAGGGACTTGTTCCTGGAGAGCTTATAAGCACAGGATACGTGAGTGTGGTTTTTTT